TCGCATCTCTGCGTTTGCCACTGTGCGTCGTGACATGCCGTTCAATTTATTTAATTTTTTTTAAACTATTTATCCAATTGACATTCTAAACAAACCGACATGTTCTCTGATGTTTGGTCTATAAGTTTTATAGAGAGCCATTTTTTGCTAGACCCAATATTATTCGGGGTAGAGCGAGGAGAAACGATTTTAAAAATATGGGTTATCAGACTCATTCTAAGTCATTTTGTATAAAGGCACTCCGTATACAACAATGGTTTGACGTATTTTTATAAATCAAATAAAAATATTTATAATGTCCGGATCGATATGCAAATTTGAAGAATGAATTTTCGGATATCGTAGATCCGAAAAATGACGAAAAACAAATTAGCACTTTTTTTGTAAGGCTCCCCACCACTCCCCTCGCGCTACGATTTTTGGACGACCAAGTGATTTTGCATTAGAAAGATATTAGAAACGAATAAAAATAGGTTTTGCATTTTAGCAACAAAGTGCCCACCAAAATCTATTCTAGAACCCTTTTTCCAGTCTTATTTACTCTTCAGTATGGAATTGTATTTACTCTTGTACAAAACTAATATTTTTATGTTAAAACATGATTAGAATATTAAAATGATAGCTTTTGTTATACAGATAAACTGTTTAGTTTAAATAATTTTCCCTTTTTAATTTTGTACATAAATAATAAACAAAAATAGCTTTGAGAATAGATTTCATAAATTCAATAAAACAGAGCATTTTAGTAATTCGGTTTATAAATTTATGTTGAATTATTTAATAATATACATAAAAATTATAATCATTACTTAGCTTCTGTTATCTTTGAATTTTGTTTCACTACTTCAACTGACCGCTGCCCTTGCAATATTTTTAAAATACAAAACACCATAACCGCAAATTACTTTACTGTTTGAGTAGGAAATATGCAATACAACACGAGCTCCGGTCGCTCGACTAATACTCTTTTTAGATGGCAACAGTGTCTGATCTCGCGTTGATCTGTAAATATCTAAAATTTCGTATATAAGTCTTCCCCTTCCCTTTTTAGCTACGGATCTCATTTTGTTGTAAATTTATCAAAAAAAATTAAGTTCAAAAATCTTTTCCCCTCTAAGTGTGCCATGATTAATATGTTAATTATAAAGATAGTTATGAACAATATACTCCATTAATTAATTTCCTATTGGTGGATCTCGGGTTGTCCTTGATTTAATCGGATCTCGCCTTGATATGAAGACGTATATATATATATATATATATATATATATATATAATATAAAATTAATGTTTCTTGGGTTTAGGTTCAATAAAGATATTACATGTGGAACTAGATTTTATTTTCCATTGCAATCAATCAACGTTTCGGCAGGAAACGCTTGTCTTTGTCAAGATTCTAAAATGTGTATATATAAGGACAAACAGATATTGTAAAATATGTATATATATATATATATATATATATATATATATAGTAGTTTTGAGTTTCTTGAACCGTATTATATTTAATATAAAATTAATGTTTCTTGGGTTTAGGTTCAATAAAAATATGTTACATGTGGAACTAGATTTTATTTTCCATTGCAATCAATCAGTTCGTTGTCAGTTCGTTAATGTCTGTGTCACGTTTTACGTTTTGAATCTTGACAAAGGCAAGGGTTTCCTGCCGAAACGTTGATTGATTGCAATGGAAAATAAAATCTAGTTTCACATGTAACATATTTTTATTGAACCTAAACCCAAGAAACATTAATTTTATATTAAATATATATATATATATATATATATATATATATATATATATATTTTTATATATATATACATTATTTTATATATATATATATATATATACATTATTTTTAAAATAATTATATACTAATGACAGTAAACAATGAGATATCAGATATCAACTTTTATATGTCAGTTCGTTAATGTCTGTGTCACGTTTTGCGTTTTGGTAAGTCATATATATATACATATTTTACAATATCTGTTTGTCCTTATATATACACATTTTAGAATCTTGACAAAGGCAAGGGTTTCCTGCCGAAACGTTGATTGATTGCAATGGAAAATAAAATCTAGTTCCACATGTAATATCTTTATTGAACCTAAACCCAAGAAACATTAATTTTATATTAAATATAATACGGTTCAAGAAACTCAAATCTACAATATATATATATATATATATATATATATATATATATATATATATATAAATGATAGTTTTTACATAAAATAGGGTTGTTATTATTATTTTTATTATTATTAAGGAATAAAACAAACAACTTAACTCAACATTATAGTAAAGCAAGAATTTTACCAAATTAAAAGAAAACTGGGCACTATCAGAGGCAGCCAAACATTTTAATATATGCAGAACCCCACTTTTTCTGTTAATAAAAAATGGAGGGAACCAGAAACTCTCGAAAAAAGCGAGGGTCTGGAAGACCAAAACTATACTAAATTTAGGTATGTAAAAATAAAAATAAAATTTTGTAATATTTCCATCAGCATTGAGAACAGCTTGTAGTGTTCCGTCCATCTGCGTGAAAGGGACTATGAAATTATCTTCTTCAGAGAGCTCTCCCCAAACCTGTTCTATATCGTGGCACAGCTCTTCAGCATTTTTGAGGTATAAGATTACGCCGATACAACCGTTTTATAATAACACCCCACACATTTTCGATTGGGTTTAAATCTGGACTGTACCTGGCCATGTTCAGGTTTCGATGTTGTTATTCTGGAGCCACTGGTTTATTATATTTGCAGCGTGTAGAGGACAATTATCTTGTTGGAGGATAAAATTATTTTCTGGATACAACTGTTCTGCACTGGGAAACATCATGTTTTCTAGAATATTCAGATAAGTCTGCCCAACAAACCTTACATCAATACGCCATACTATTCCCATTCCTATAGATGAAATTCACCCCCATACATTGGCGCTAAAATGACCAGCTGCTTGATATCTATCAACATATAGAGGATTAAATCTATTATTATCTGGTCTATACACCCCAATTTTACCCTTTTTAACCCTTTCAGACCCGGTGTCCATTGCAATGGATTATGCATTTACGTAAGCCCTACAACAAAATTAAACTCTTGTAAATTGCTGACAACTACATGTTTTTTATTTTGTATATCTCAGTTACTACTAGTCTTAAAATTTTTAGTTTAGTTTGAATCACAGCCGATGAAAGTGCTTTAAAGATAGTGTGACCTAGCGAATTCACGATACTCCGGAAATCGCAAGTAAACATTAGGTTTTTTTAAAATTTATTAGATGTTACCAAATATTATTTTATATAATAGTAGACATATCAATTTTTATACTGCTTATTCCACATACATGATTTATTGTTGTTTTTTGTCGATATCAAACATTAAAATATGATGTAAATTGCAATGGACTACAGGTCTATGTTGATATTTTTGTTTTACGTTTTAATCCGGATAATCCAAAAGACCAAGAGATTCTATGTTCTTTTTAGATGATGACGATGAATTTGAACAATTAGCTAATAATGTTTTATCTCAAATTGAAGATCAATGAGACATAGAGGATGTCTCAAGAAGTGGTAAATGATAAAGGAACTGTGGTTTTGTGCAAATGGCAAGATAATAAGTCTGTGCTTGTAGGTTCGAATTTTGTTGGAAAAGGAAAGAGACTTAGTATAAAGATGGGATAAGAAACAAAAGAAAAAAATAACGATTCAGAGACCACAAGCGATTCAATTATATAATAAATCAATGGGAGGTGTAGATTTACTAGATCAACTATTGTCATATTATAGAATCTATCAAGTCACAAAAATGGGCATTGCGTTTAATCTTCCATGCCTTTGATTTTGCTTGTACCAATAGTTGACTAGAATATAAAAGGGAGCAGCTTGGTTTATTTCCCAAAGATCAAACGGATTTGTTGGGTTTTAAAATACAAATTGCTGAGGCGCTAATTAAAGTGGGAAAACAAATAAAAAGAAGCATTGGTCGTCCCAAAATGTCAAATGAGAATTTTCCCCACACTCCAGAGTGGAAATTAGACCACTGAAGGAAATAAGGATGAATAAAATAGATCATTTATCCGAGTATGACAACAAAAAGGAAGCATCCAGATGCAAAAATGTTGGGTGTAAAGGGAAAACGCATGTTTTTATGTTTTGTAAAGAACAAAAATTGTTTCAAATAGTTTCATTTAAATTAACTCAACATTTACTTGGTACAAATTTACGATATTTACTAAAAATATCGTATCGGAATATTTTCCTAAATTCGTATTATAGTCCCAATGTACATTGCAATAGCCATTTTGTCAAACGACTACCTGTTAAACAAAAATGTCAAAAATATGATTTTGTAGCTGATGGTTTAAAGCAAATATAAGAGCTTGTTTTTTTTGCTGTAGTTAGGTACCTAAGACGCGATGCTTTAATTCTGCGCCAAGTTGTTGTCTGTCTTCCCGGAAACTGTGACATAATTCTTTAAGTTTTCGCATCTTCAAAAGGATTCTCTTCTAATCTCTTCAAAAGCGTACTATCTTCATGAGTGGTAGATATTTTTAGTCTTCCAGAACTTTGCTTTCTTTCGAGAGTTTCTTGTTCTTTCCATCTTTTATTAATATTGAAAACTGTTGTTCTGCTTACGTTAAAATGGTTCGATACGGCAGATAGTGACCAACCATCTTTTAGTTTAGTTACAATTATTGCTTTTAGTTCTTTACTAGCGTGTGGAGCCATTTTTTTTGGTTGGACAGAATAAGTTATCTCACAAATTTTAAGATTGGCAGTGACAGTATGTAAATTATAAGTATTTATCCTTCAAAATATACTGCTCAATTTTCTACAAAATACCCTTTAAGAGTCGTATCAGTTTTTTCAGAAACCAGCTGTACATCGATTCTATACTTACAGTTAAGAATTGAAATCTGTCAATTAGAGGAAAAGTCCAAGCAAAAATTCCGCAGTATTATATTTTTAGTAAAATAGACATACCTTTCGGAAAAACTAGTAATTTTCTCCCAACTATCTGGACACCACTTCAAGAGCTCCATATTTCCATTGTCTAATCCCACAGCTAATAAATACATTCCTGAAATAAGATCTGGAGCAAAGGCCAAGGCTGTGATGGATTCGTTTTTAAGTGCATAAGGCTCAGAAGCCAAGCCACATTTTCCAAGGGAGTTTGTAATTTCTTCGCTCTTGTTTATTGACCATACTGCTATTTTGCCATCTCGAGAACCTGTAAAAGTGTGAATTCACAAAGGACTAAAGAATGTTTACACTGTTGCTTCCAATAACATCATTTTTGATATTTGTTAAATTTTTATATTTATTCATAGTTGCAAAATTTATATAACACAAAAAACAAACAAAATGATGGAAAATGAAGATAGCTATTCGCAAAAAACACCAAGAGAGCCTCCATCTCCACGTCAACGATCAAGTGCTGCAATTTGTCAACCAAGAGAATGAAGTCATTTGATCGAGTGCAATAGTGTTAGACCTAGTTCAATAGTTTAGTCAAATGAAAAAAAAAACATCACGCCAATCTTTAAAGCTCTTGTATTAGAAATAAAATCAACTTAAAGTTAGATGTCTGTATGGCTTCAAAATTACAACATGGGCATATGTTTTCTAGTATTACTTGATATTAATAAAGAAAAGGCATTCACAGGAGCAGTGGAAGATTCCAAAGTGTTCATTAGAGTTCATTTATGGTTTATTTATTTGTTGTATATGTGTTAAGAACATTGTAATTTGATGATTACAAGCAAATAGCTAGCAAATAATATCGAATTCCTTATTGCCTTACAGATCTCAACCATGCAAGCCGAATTTCGGATCAAAGATAGCGCAAAGTATAGTGCCTAGTCAAGTCTAGTGATAACTGAGAAAGGAAATAGGTAGGATCCGGAATAGGCGCCAAGGATGGCTTCAGATAGAGTCGAACGCTAGATTTAACTGTGTATAAAGATGTAGCAGAAATACAGAGTGGAAAAGAAGGACCAGAACAACAAACAAGAACTAATAAAACCAATAAAACAAGTAATAAATACAACAACTAGTAAAATAGTCCTACACAGTTTACTTTATACCATATCAATTACCAGTAGCAAAATATTTCGAATCATGCGTCCAACAGCACGTCCAGATTATTCTAGAATGAACAGATGTACTTTTATCAGTGGTACCGGCCAATTGGAATTCGTTGTCTTTGTTTTTGGTGAATAATGACCACCTCCTATCTCTTGAAACCGATAGTATATGCTGACTATCTGGTGAAAACTGAAGTTGGACAATTGTTAGCGTATGAGAGAACAATTTTTGGATCCATCTCCAGCTGGTAGTGTCCCTTAAATAAAAGAAAAATAATTATTTTTCCAATGAACATAGTATGACTTACTTTTCGTAATTATATCATAAAGATTTATAATAAGTTTGTGACAGCTAAATATTGAATATTCAATATAAAATGAATTGAAGGTATAGACTTATTATAAAATTATCACTTGTACTAAATACAGTTATCAAGAAAGGATTAAAATGGATAAAGTTGCTGAAGATTCATACTTAATTTTGCAATCTACCTATGTACTTTCTTTTCACTTACCAAAGTATCACATTGGAATGTTCGTATTTGGTAGATTTGCAAGCTGATACCAAGTATTTACCATCAGGAGAAGCTGCTAATGAATAAACTTCATACCCATGTCCATATAACTTCTGCACTTCTGGCCAAAGTGTATTTTGGAGAAGTGTTTCTTCGGTAGGAGGCTCTAAAAGGTCACTGTTTATTGTAAATCGATAAAAAATCAAAAACGGAAAGTATTTATAATAAAAATAAAGATATTCTTGGACAAAGTATCTTGTATCTCTTTATCTGTACTGTAATATATATATATATATATATATATATATATATATATATATATATATATATATATATATATACAGATTGAACCAAATTAAAACAGAACATAGGAAATACATGTATATCGGATCTACTTCGCTTTAGGTGCTTAGCCAACAAAAGGTTGTCAAATAATTATATTATACAAATCCAATACTTCAACGTTCGGCTGGATTCTGAATTCGTTGTTTAAAACAGGTGAAAACTCCCCCAAAAAGGTTGCCCCGCCCATCACGTATAAAAATTGAAAGCTACACTTGTACATTTCAGGAGTGTTGCCAACCGGAGGAAAATGTTCGTTATTTATTTATTTTTCTCACGATTGATGAGAGAAATCACATGCCATGAAATTCGATCAATAACGAATCCAATAACAACGTATTTCAGTTGAGTCAATTTATCTTTACCCGTGCGTCATGATTTAAAACATACGAAATCAGTCGGAAATTTACTCAAAGCAACAAAAAGTGACAGAAAATGGTTATGACAATCTGTGTGAATAAGGTTAACTTTAAGGAAAATTAAGGGCAAATTAAAATACACTTACCATAAAATTTTCAACTGCAATATAAAGTTAGTTGTGAAAATAACTGTTTGTGTAATATAAATAATTCCAAAATGTAAAAACAGGACAAAAAATAGCAAAATAGTCAACAAACTGACAGCCACAAAAGTAAACAAACCAGAAACGTCAAAAATTGTTCTCACAATCTGAAAACGTCCATATACAATATGATATATAAAAACAGATTTCCTTTAAGACAAATTTTGATTTATTGACTTAAAGAAGACCTCAGGCTGAGTACAAAATTAATTGATCGAATCCTAACATGCGATATAAATTTTCTCAGCTATTTAATATTCTGTTTTAAAAAGTTCAAGAAAGTTATGTTTTTTACATATCTTAAGTTTTTTAAGTTTAAAATTTAAGTTTTGTTTTTAATACTAAAACATGAAGAATCAAACCAAAGCTGGATTTTAGGAGGCCTGTTATATAGTTTCTGCAAATAAGATAGTACTCAAATTCTTGCAGAATATAAAAGAGTAGAATATATGTTACACCCAGCTAAGATACCTACTCACAGACAGGAACAGTAACAGTCGAATCATAATTTTGAAAGACAAAATAAGATTCCACTTTCAAACAACGATGGCAAAGTGATAGGATATATCGCTGTTCCGGAAGTATAATGACATAACCGTAAAATTTTGAAAAATGACTTTGTGAAAAATATTGTGTTGGAAGGATCAAAACTGCATTTTCAACATATTTGTAAATCGTCGTAATTGTACTTACGAATTTCGCCATGACCGGTGATTCCGTAAGTACAGTTATGATGATTTAAAAATATATAGAAAATGCAGTTTTGAACTATCCAACACAATAAAGTCATTTTTCAAAATTTTACAATTATGTGTTTATACTTATGGAACAGCAATATATTGATTTCCAAGGACGTAGAAATTCTTTATGATATCAAGCTTATCTGTGCTGCAGTTCTACAAGTACTACTTAGTACAAATCTATTTCACTTTGACTTAATGAACTTTGGGGGAATGATTAGTTTAGAGCAGTCAACATAACCAAATATATTTTCTCTTTTTGAAGAACTTCGATAATAATTATTTTATTATAAATTTGAAATATTCTTTGAAACTGATGGAATGTTTTAATTCTTGCAACAGCGGCATTTTTCGCCAAATCTATTGTTAAAATTTAAACGAGTGAACCTAGGCAATATACTGTGGCTCCTCAGCAGTCAGTAATCAATGATCCACGGAAGGAGTATGTCGAAAAATTTATATGAAATACGTATTTTTACGTACCTATCACGTTTTATGCTGGAAAAATTATTTGTAAACTCGATTTACAAATAATTCTAGGTTTGCAATTGCTTTTTGCCGTAACGGTTTTGAAAATAAAAAATAAATTCGTAAAGAAACAAAATATAAACTCTAAAAGAATCTTAAAACTTCTTAAGTAAATCTTAAAAGAAACAAAACTTAATTTCTAAAAGAAACTTAAAAGATAAAATTCTAAAAACAACTAAAAAAACCTATTTAGGCACAAAATTTAATGGATTAAAGGTTCAAATAATCCACCTTGAACATCCGAACAATAGGTGAATCTATCATACAAAGAAGCTCTTGTATTTCTGAGTTGATCAGGCGTAACATCGGCACAATGGGGAGAAATCTGCTGATCTTGGAGGCCACTTGATTGTACCGTTTGTCGCAATTAACCGGTTTGGAAATGTCCTTTGGAGATATTCGGTAACTGCCCTTGTATTATGACTGGGGCATCCGTCATGCTGGTACCAAATATCTCCAAAATTCATATTAGGAAGTTGCTGAGCAGCCGGAACGATTTGATTTTGTAGCAGTTCGAGGTATTTAGTGCCGTTCAGGTTGCCCTCAATAAAAAAAAAGGACCTATTACATAATCGCCCAAAATACCCGTCCAGACATTAAGTTTTTGTGGGTATTGTTTGCACACAGGAATACTTAGATGTTTATTTTCCCGAGACCAATATCGAACAATGGATGGATTGTGTTTCCTGTGAAGAGAAAATGTCGATTCGTCAATAAATAAAATGTTCTTTAAAAAATTGTCGTTAGCATTTTGCTTTTCCACCATCTCTTCACAGAATACCATTCGTCTAGTATTGTCCTCGGGAAAAAGTTCTTGAGTTGTTTGAACTTTATAGCAACGATATCCATTTCTTTTTAAAATACCCCGAACAGTGTTTTTGCTTAAGTTTACTTGTTCAGCAATTTCCCTGCTTGAACACGGCTGGCTAGCCTCAACAACAAAACAAACATCAACTTCATTATTTATTCGTTGTTCACTCTTTTGACGAACAGGTGGTTCACCAAGATTGCTACACTTGTGGCAGTTTTGAATACATCCACATTTACGAAATTTTTCAATTATTCTTTCAAGTGTGGAAATCGAAGGAACCGGCCTATTCGCAAAACAACCAACGAATAAATTACCTATATCTCGAATCGAGTGACCTCCAAAATACCAAGTTAAAATTTGTATTGTGTAAGAATTAAATCTTTTAGCGAAAGCCGCTATCGCTGTATGTATTAAATGGCCAACTATATGGCCTAGGAGACAAATTCGTTAAACTTCCCGTGCTCGAATTGGTATCACTAAAGTGTTATGATCATTTCGGCCTATCCCAGCCATCGTCAGACACTTGGGCTGATACAAATTCAAACACGGAAAGTAAAACGAATGTCTCCCAATCTTCACTACCGTGTAGTTAGCTTATAAAGGCGCCCTCTATTTTGAAGGCCGTGAACGAAACGATATGAATAATCGTTTTCTGTATCCTTTATGCTATGCGAAATGTGTAAGAATTAAATCTTTTAGCGAAAGCCGCTATCGCTGTATGTATTAAATGGCCAACTATATGGCCTAGGAGACAAATTCGTTAAACTTCCCGTGCTCGAATTGGTATCACTAAAGTGTTATGATCATTTCGGCCTATCCCAGCCATCGTCAGACACTTGGGCTGATACAAATTCAAACACGGAAAGTAAAACGAATGTCTCCCAATCTTCACTACCGTGTAGTTAGCTTATAAAGGCGCCCTCTATTTTGAAGGCCGTGAACGAAACGATATGAATAATCGTTTTCTGTATCCTTTATGCTATGCGAAATGTGTAAGAATTAAATCTTTTAGCGAAAGCCGCTATCGCTGTATGTATTAAATGGCCAACTATATGGCCTAGGAGACAAATTCGTTAAACTTCCCGTGCTCGAATTGGTATCACTAAAGTGTTATGATCATTTCGGCCTATCCCAGCCATCGTCAGACACTTGGGCTGATACAAATTCAAACACGGAAAGTAAAACGAATGTCTCCCAATCTTCACTACCGTGTAGTTAGCTTATAAAGGCGCCCTCTATTTTGAAGGCCGTGAACGAAACGATATGAATAATCGTTTTCTGTATCCTTTATGCTATGCGAAATGTGTAAGAATTAAATCTTTTAGCGAAAGCCGCTATCGCTGTATGTATTAAATGGCCAACTATATGGCCTAGGAGACAAATTCGTTAAACTTCCCGTGCTCGAATTGGTATCACTAAAGTGTTATGATCATTTCGGCCTATCCCAGCCATCGTCAGACACTTGGGCTGATACAAATTCAAACACGGAAAGTAAAACGAATGTCTCCCAATCTTCACTACCGTGTAGTTAGCTTATAAAGGCGCCCTCTATTTTGAAGGCCGTGAACGAAACGATATGAATAATCGTTTTCTGTATCCTTTATGCTATGCGAAATGTGTAAGAATTAAATCTTTTAGCGAAAGCCGCTATCGCTGTATGTATTAAATGGCCAACTATATGGCCTAGGAGACAAATTCGTTAAACTTCCCGTGCTCGAATTGGTATCACTAAAGTGTTATGATCATTTCGGCCTATCCCAGCCATCGTCAGACACTTGGGCTGATACAAATTCAAACACGGAAAGTAAAACGAATGTCTCCCAATCTTCACTACCGTGTAGTTAGCTTATAAAGGCGCCCTCTATTTTGAAGGCCGTGAACGAAACGATATGAATAATCGTTTTCTGTATCCTTTATGCTATGCGAAATGTGTAAGAATTAAATCTTTTAGCGAAAGCCGCTATCGCTGTATGTATTAAATGGCCAACTATATGGCCTAGGAGACAAATTCGTTAAACTTCCCGTGCTCGAATTGGTATCACTAAAGTGTTATGATCATTTCGGCCTATCCCAGCCATCGTCAGACACTTGGGCTGATACAAATTCAAACACGGAAAGTAAAACGAATGTCTCCCAATCTTCACTACCGTGTAGTTAGCTTATAAAGGCGCCCTCTATTTTGA